ACTAAAAGATCAATGTTGAAATCAAACAATGATATAAGTCATCAGTCCCTATAAAAAAACATTTGAAATCACATTCAGAATTTACTCAGGTTATTTTTTTAAAAGATGATCATTTTCCGTAACAAAAATCCTTTAAAATATTCAGAAAATTTTAAAGGTTTGCATAGATTTTTGATACAGAAAATGCTCATCTCTTAAAAAAAAAAAATCTGAGTAAAGTCTGAGTATGATTTTAAAAAAATTTTTATATGGAGTATAACCATGAAAATTCATTTTTTAACACAAATAAATGGACCACTTATCAACTATCAAGAGTGAAGAGCAAAACATTTGTCAAATTCAATGATTCTTCTCACTATTAGAGTGACGCATTTTCACATAACATTCAATACCAGATACAACGCAAGGTCTCCTCCCAATACTCCTAAAACCTGGTCCGATGTTGCATGTCCTTAGGTGGAGGCTCAAACTGAATTATCTAATTGAAGTGATCCAGGTTCACCTCCATAGGAAGACTTTCGTATTATTAGCTGTTTAAATAAATTTAATTTTACATTATTTATAAAAATAAACTGTAATTTAAACAGCCAATTATACGAAAGTCTTCCTATGGGGTCCACCCATCTATTCTAATGCCGAACATCGGATAACATATTATCACGTATTCCTGATGCAATCAGCGAACATGGTGAATTATTAGCCTACAACAAAATCGCGTAGACCCTGAGTTTCTGCAAATTCAATCGTAGATGTGACAAACGTTCAATCTAATCCTCAAAGTGTTACAACTTATGAAGACTACGAAATAGAAGATAAATGTTATGATGTTGGTGGTGAGAATAATGATGAACCTGTTAATAAGGTTGAGAAAAATCCTGATGAAGAGCAGGATGAAGACCAAGAAGAGCTTGGTGAATTAATGTTATCTTCAGATCCTAAAATTTGACACAAAGTATATCATTTATTTTTTTTTATTTTTTTTTTTTAATGTTAAGGTGACCACTTTGGGTTTGGCACGTTTTATTAAACTTTGGATCGAATGCCAGGGCAGCCACAGGGCTACCCCTGACTTTGTTACATTAACAAGGATACATACTAGCCATATGTACAACTTT